TCCTTGCTACATCATATTCTTTTGGTGGAAGTGCCGATGAAGCAAACATATATTTGCTATAGCAATCGACTATGCTACTTATATTCGTTGAGAGTAGACTGATTTACTGGTAGTCTCGAAACCCTACTCTCACACGAATATGAATATCGTATGCAAACAAAGCAGCTACAATACGATGTGAAAGTCTCTTCCGACAATGTTGTCTCATGAGATTCATCGAAACCGACTAAAAACCATTTCACTTCAGGCATGGGTCTATTCCAACCACCATCCGAGCGACAGTATCGAGCCAGCAAAGAGTTTGGTACTTCCCCAACTGGTTGTTCATTGGAGGGAACAAGAGTGCCCAAAAGACCTTCTGCCTCGCCATTGGTGCAGACAAATGGCCGGTCGTCAAGAGGGCTAGAGTCTCAAAATGATCGGATTCTTCAGACCCCATCTTATTGCCTTCACACAAATCAAAAGGTGTATGTGTTGTGTTCACCCTATTCCGTTGAAGGTGATGAAGGACTGGTTTCGATCTCGCATAGGTCTTATCAACTAGGCTATATGAACTTCAATGGAAACGTCAGATCTACTCAAATGATGGTGTGAAAATTCAACTACCACACTACCATCACCTTAACAGAAGTTGGGTGAACACAATTTATATGTGTGATTTACTGTTCGCAATGACACAAACTGGAAAAGAACATTTCGGTGATAGGAAGACATCAGACTCGACATGCTTCAACTCATCTTGTACACAGTTTTTTATGAAGATTAGTAGATTTATAAAAACTGTTTTCAGCTGCTGAGAAGATATGAAGTGAAGTATTGGTTTCTAAATTCTCTTTGTATGCTTTACCAAATTGACATTTTATTACTTTGCTCGATTGATACCCTCGGAAGTGTGCCTCTCAATTTGCTTCGTTTTCAAACTCACATCACCTGAGCTGGCGCTTTATGAACGCACATTGAAGCCGTTGGTCCCTGCCCTTGGACCTCCAAACGAGGAGGTAACTAAACTTCGCGACCATCAACAGCGTCGTGGCAACGTGTATAAAACATACCCTGCACTACCTGGGTCCGAGTTTGGCAGTTGGGGGTGCTGATGTGATTCAGGTGATTGTAAAATCACACAGTCCAAACTGTGTGAAAATGTTTTTCGGTAAGCGAGACTAAGTGAAATTCATTCCAAATTCATGTGATTATTAGGCTTTGGGTGAACAAAACCCACTCACTACGTAAATAAGTGTAGCGTCTTTCTGGCACGATTGCATGTTTTAAGAAATTTTTCTGTGCCACTTTCTCAACTACACGTGATCACTTTCACCAGCGCACCATAGAAGCTTCAGTTCACCTTGCTTCCCAGTCGTGCCGAATGGAGTTGTGATTCTCCCACGCTGCACAATTGCTTGCTGTGGGTTTTGTGTTGGCCGAGAGACGAATTGCGCGGATAACCATCTACCGGAATAGGGCCGACTATCGGCCAAAAATCTGTACCCTCAGCTCAGCGCCATTCATCGCACCTATTCAGCCACGTGTGTTGAGAAACGCCGTTGGCCTGGTCTTCAACCCCTGCAAAAACCGACTTGGCCCGAAGCGGGCTTATCTGGAAGACCGTCATATGATGCAGCATGTGGACCCTGCCTCCAGATCCTTGAGCATAATCTCCACGATCTGAGGAAGGTGGGTGGGTGGGTGCGGAGGAAGCCTGGCTTTTGCAGACAAAACATTTGCCAAACGAGCTCTGTGGACCAACTCTGGTGCATCTTTGTCGTAGAGCTCCAGTTCCTCTCTGCCGTTTTATGAGCATCTAGAGCCATTAATTGGACAGCCAGAGTCCAAAACATTTCTTAATCATATTATGCTACTTTAATATGTTAAAAGTAGTATATATTTTTTCATGTATAAAATGCTAGGCAAATTAACGCCTACCTTATTCTCCAAGGTTGGACCACGCAAATAGCCTTTAAAAAAGCATGGAAGGGTGAAACTGAGAGTCAAAGCTCCAATTAAGCCTCGAAATAGTTTAAAGAGGATCCTGAGCATCTAAATGGTCTGCAAATGAGTGATCATTTAAGCACTCCAGATAGGCATTATCGTGGATGTGACGAGAGCTCCTGAGAATAATACGCAAATTCGGCAATGCACTGTTCTAAAATTGCGAGTTATTAAGTTAAAACTTAATATAACGCCACCTCCTGAAAAGATCTTTTTGTCTTGAACGACGCTACCGCCTATAACTTACAAAGACTCAAATTGTCTGACCTGAACCAACCAGACAAAGGATGTAATAAATTTAATTGTTAGGGGGACCTTCATTTCGAATGAAATTACACGAAGAAGAGATTCGTTTGTCGATCTCTCCAGATGAGGACGGATGAAAAACGTTGTACTGCAGCCGTTTAGCTTTTATG